TGGCAAACCTTTTAGAGACCGAGTGCCCACACTGCAACCCAAAACCCACTTATGTATCATCGGGTACTGCAACCCAAAACCCACTTATGTATCATCGGGTACTGGGTGGGCATGGCCCATTGGGTGGGTGTGGCCCATTGGGTGGGCATGGCTGTGGTGGTAACGGCACACTGGGTGGGACTAAAAAGTTCAATCAATCAATTCCAACTTTGCGAGATCTTTTTTCCCGCGAGAAGTTGAAATTGATCGATTGATTGAACCCCTTTTTTTTGCACACGGCGGCGGAGGCCTAAAGTGAAAAGGTTTTATAAAACTCAACTGAAGGCCTAGAACTGGGGTGACAGTGCACATGCCCACAGAGAGGGCTCTGAGTGCCACTTGTGGCACGCGTGCCATAGGTTCGCCACCACGGACCTATAGCCTACATGTTCTGTTGGCTATTTTCCCATACATATTTATAAAAGCCACTGTATGATGGGAATAAAAAAGTGACTGGGATTAGGAATATCAAGACTCAGATTGGCTACAAAGTCTTCTGGGTGACTCTAGAAAAATCACCCTAAACTGTTTGTCATTAGTTTACCAATGGCCTTCTTATTTCTTAAGGGATATGGATATAAATATATTTACCTACTAATTTACAGTATTTATATCCTGCCTTTATTTGATTTCTTTTGTAAATAACTCAAGGTAGTGAACATACATAATACTCCTTCCTCCTTGTATGATATAAGTTTTTAAAATCTGCAGGGAGATCTTAAGGGAAATTAAGGGAAAAAGTAAATGAAGAGAAAGAAGCATGTGTCTGTGAGTAAAGAAAGAGGAACATAAGAAATAAAGCCTTTTAAATACTTGCATTGGTGTCTGGCAGTTTTTTTATGTTCCAGACTTATTAGGTAATGTTTCCAATACTGACATAATGCTATATTGTAATAAGGAAGATAAGAATTCCTGTTAAAATCTGGGAGAAATCTCAAGATAAATTTGAACTAAATCTGCAACATTTTCAACTAAATAAATCCACGTTTGGCAATCTTCTTAAGCTACATTGAGTCAGATCCAGAATTAGTCTCATGATTAAAATAAATAAACCCTTAATATATTGTCCATAGTCATTACTCTGAAGCATGGGTGTCAAACTCGCCGCGTCACGTGACATGTCGCAACGTATCACGACTTCTTTCGCATTGCCGGAGCTGGGGTGGGCGCGGCCTCTGCATGATGCAACCAGCCCACAGGCCGGCAGTTTGCCACCACTACTCTGAAGGATTAAGTCTGAAAATAATTGTAGATGTAGTTTATACTTTCACTATTGTATATGAAAGATAGAGGTATATCTAATAATTTCATCAATATATGAATGTTGTTATTTTTCTTAGTTTTGCTTTAATTTATTTCATTTTGATTCAGCCTCAGATTGTCCTTGTTTAAGTCTGCATAGATGCTTGTGCACTGTAGAATGATTTTTTTAAAGCATTGTGATGTAATTATACTGCTTTGAAACAGAACGTTAAGCAAATGCACACTGATATTAGTATAATTAAATTATTTCCAGAGCACGTGTTAAAGTTCTTTGTTGAACTTACATGACAGTCTATATAAGCTCATTTCTCTGCTCATTGCTGTTCAAGTGAGCTACTTTGTCATTTCTTAGTGACAGAATCAGATGCTCCAAGAGATACTAAAAAAGATACATTAGACAATAGAAATCTATTCCCTGTCTTTTGTCAGGTTTTTCCCTCCAGTGTATTAGCAAATTCTCTATTTAGTGTAGTTTTAAATGACTCGAGCTTTGGCAAGTATGCTACTTTGAGGGACTTTCATAAATCTTTTGGTTAGTGTAGTACAATAAAATAGTCAAACAAAAAAAAAACGTTATAAAAATATTTGTTCTTACAGCCCGAGCGATGTCTATTTATCATACCACTAGGTTGTAGCATAATAAACTTATCCAATAATATGCATCTCAATATTGATTAATGCTTACCATTTGTTTCCTGGTAACCACACAAAGTTGTATTATACAGCTACTGTAAATAGTGTTATATCCTAAATTAGCATCTTTTGCTTAAATAATAATTTCCAATATATCTATTAAATTATCACTGCAATTAGATTGCTAGTACTAAATACATTTGTATGTGCCTACAAATATGCTTAAAAGAGTAGCAAGCACTTGAAAAGCATTCTTTTAATTAAAGTATTATAATAAAAAAATACAAATAGAAACAAAGCTAATTGGAAAATGGGGGAAAGAAAAAAAGAGGCAGGAGGTACAAGGTAAGAAGGGGGGGAGCAATGGTTTGCTTGGATAGCAAAGTCATTTGTCAGTTTTGATTACTCTATGCAGATTTATATCATATAGGACATACAAGTAGCCCTTGACTGTAATGAAGCTTGCCCATTATGTCATAAGTCATGTTGGTTGCAAAATGGGTCATCACATGACTGATCCAATTTTACAAACTTTTTTTGTGGTGGTCATTAAATAAATCACCATTGTCATTAAATGAATCCAGTAGTGTTAAGTGAACACCGCAGTCATTAAGTGAACGCTTTGTTCACTGTGGAGGATTTTTTGCCAAAAATTGGAAGTAAACACTGATTTTTGGTAAAAATATCAATATTATAAGTAGTCCAGAACTAATTGTACTGTATGTCCTATATAATATAAATCTACATAGGATAATCAAAACAGACAAATCACTTTGCTACCTGCTTTGCGACCAACATGACTTATGACCATAAATATAATATATATTTATATATTATAAATATCATGTGAACAAGGGATTCTACAAACAGCTGTAAATGTGAGCTGGTTGCTGAATGGGATACGTTCCCACTGACCACAGGGAAGGGGCCTGGCCATTATAACTTTAGAACCAGGTCATATGTACCATGAGGGGGAAGTGGGTTTGTTGTAACTTCAAATGGTTGCTAAGCATCTGATTGTAAGTTGTGTACTATCTGTGATCCAACAAATCTTGGACTATGTTTACAACTTCTAAGAAATACACTTTGGAGGTTTCATGGTACCTGAACAAAGAATAGAAACCATTTCCCTTTTCATATCATGAAAGGAAAACTTATTCATATCTGCAACTTAATGTACTGTACAAAAAAGCACCATTTCAGCATTTCAGCTAAAAATAATAACATTGATAATATGTTCTTCATAATACACCTGAGCATTCCAATATGTATCACAAATTAGGGGGAAAAAACAGCAGAAGCTGCATGCCTGGGGAAATCATAATGTACTTTTTGTTTTTATAATGAGTACGACTGGGCTTTGGATAAATCCCATATCTTTCAATTTATTATGCCCCCAAAATGGTGCTGTTCCTCTGAAAACTACTTGTATCTACCGTAAGTCCATTACATTAATGAAATTTATTTCTGAGTAAGCACGTTTCATTCATGTTTTTGTTTCTCTACAATAATTCACATTGTTAAGTCTAAGATTAGGGCAGAGCAACATAAACTGACTTTGAACAGTTCTTTGAAAGCTTTTCTTAATTAGTTCTCTGTACTTCATAATTAACCTGTTTTTTATATTTCAAAGAATTTTTTATTTGCACCATGCCTATACATACTGTAATATTTAAGTAGAGTTAGTCAAGTGTGCACAAAACATAAATTAGTCTGCAAAACAATTGATTTCATTCCCCAAATTCAAAAACATAAAGCTAAAACGTACTTTAATATTTCTGCTTTCTGATGTTCTGAGTTACTGCACTGTGGTTTTTGAACAGAAACAGAATATCAGTGTATAACATTTCCCAACAGAATGGATACCCACACAAATTCTTCTAAAAGTGTGTATCCTCCTAATCTATCACAATCCACAGACAGAATATGCACAAAAAGGAATGCAGTCCCAAAGATCAAACTGGCACTCAGAACACATGATGGAAATTCTTTCATTTCACAGCTTGTAGAGAAATTCAGCCACAATTAAATCTTGGAAACTGTAGCTTAAATCAGTTCTAAGAAGGCAGGACAATTCCTAGAAGCCTGGCAACCTGACAAATTAGCCATCAGCTGACATACAGAAATTAATTACATTTATAAACCATTCAGGCCAAAGGTCAAAAGAAACAGTCCTGTGCATATTCTTCCACATCACATTCACATTACCAACCACCCAGATAAGCAAGAACAGGAGCAAAGTAAGACCAATCAAGAAGCAGCAATATTTCACAACACAAGGCTGGTAGGATAAACAACTAGATATAAATAACCACTGAATTTCACTTTATATCAAAACATTGATGGTGTTAGCTTGCACAGTAATAAAATGACTTGGAGATCAAAACTAAATTCAGAGACCACCAAGACCCTAAGAACATGTTCACCTTTGGAAATTTGTGTAGATTATGTATCCTCTATCCTTTGAGTCTGTTTTTGATAAATTTTATAAGATGTCCAACACATTTTTGATGTGTCATGGAGAGAAATATCAACAAGCTACTATATGGGAAGGCAAATTAATCATTGAACTATAGAAATAATCTCTTCCCTCCTGTCTTTAATTTGCATAAGTGTGTTTTATTCATAGCTGGTTTTCCTGTCTCCTTGCGCATCTTTCTTAATTATTCATAAGTATACATAAGATCATGAGAGAGAGACACACACATACAAGAGAAGAGAAGAAAAAGAAAACAGAAATCAGACACAGATCCCATACAGCAGAAAATTAAAATGCCTGCAAATATCATTTTATCAATACCATGCTTACATCTTATCTATCTGATTGTGGGACATTTAATATGTTGCTACAAAAATGGTGGCCTCCCAAATGAAGTTACACATGTTCACATGTGTACACTACAGAAAATCTGGGTGATAAATCCAAAGTCATCATTTGCTTTCCTATTATTTTACCAGTGGTAGGACATAGAGGATAAAAGAAGTAGGTTTACCCATTTCATTTCCTTGAATTGTCTGCTTATTTCACATTTCCTATGGCAGATCTTCTCTCTATCTTTCTTCAGATGGAATTCCATTTGTTTGGTGGGTTGGTCGTGCCAACGAAAAACATCCTTACTGGGGAGGATCAATTCCAGGAATCCAACAATGTGCATGCGGTCTAGAAGAAAGCTGTGTGGATCTGAGATATTTTTGTAACTGTGATGCAGACAGAGAAGAATGGTAACTATGAAAATGCATTTTAATTTATGTTATTGTTCGTATGGAAATATGAATGTTAATGAAAGGTAGATTGGTAAATTTTATTGTAGGCTTTCACCATTGTGTGTGTACATATGCACATATTGTATATACATGAACTTCTACATGCATTATTTAAAAAAATAATTACAGGAAGTTTACATGCATTATTTAAAAAAATAATTACAGGAAGTTAAAGCAGTTAAAAACAGAAGGAAAGGAGAGAAAGAAGATGTTGAAGATATCAAAGAAAAGTAATTTTATGGACCAATATCTGGTGCTTCACTCTTATGTATCAAGACAAACATTGACTATATTAGGGGTAGTAGTGGTTTTATAATCTGGTAGAAGATTATACCAGTGATTTCTCTGGGACTTCCTTTATGAGAGGCTGAATTAGTGTATCACTAATGAAAAGCAATGGGTGAACTAAATTTTCTTATTAAAAAAAGAGAAAAAGTTCAGTGCAAGTTTAATGGCATATAATGAAATGGAAATAAAGTTTAATGTTTGTGCATCTTACTTTTCAGTCATAAGTTTGACATGCAAACTGGGGAATGTAGAGCTCCAAATCTCACAAAACATATATAATATAAAGGCCTCTTTAAGGCATTCAGTAAGTTTAATGTCTAAATAAATTTTATGGTTGCCTTCACATTGTGTTTCCAATTTGAATACCAAGCCAGGAGAACTTGAAATAGAGAAGTATGCCATCCTTTAATTTTATGACTCAGGATAATATTCTTGAGAAGTGTGTGATCTCAAGAACAATTTCAAATCTATAAAATTGACTAACATGCTCTTTTAATTTTGTCACACATAAACTAGAATTGCAAAATCAATTAATAATCTTTCAACATCACTCTACTATATAAATGTACCTTATACCTTTGCAGATTTAAGCTGCTGAAGTTGGAATAAATCATTCTTCAGTCTAGAATCTAGATTGGCCTTCTGCTTTGAAGATTTTCATATTTAGAAAGATCCTATTGTTCATTATATGATTAATGTACATATCTTCAATAGGTTTCTGGTTCTTGTAATAAAGCAGGTACACAAATTCTATATTAATGATATATACATGCTTAATGTTAATAATTAACAAATTTTAATTTCCTAATTAGTGAGATGGAGGCCGAAGAAAACAATAAATTATAGAAACTTTAAATTTTTTGCTCAAAAACTTGCACTTTGGAAAAAAAAAATCCATCTTTTCTTTCTGCACTACACCTAACCTATATTACAGAAAAATTATACCAATGCAGTGTATGTAAATCAGTGGTGAAGTAAGAAAAATGGTTATAGTAGAATTGGAAAATGAACAAAAGACCGTAGTTAAAATTATGTGAGCACAGAATGACTTTCATAGGCTAAAGCAATTTGGCATTTTCAATTTAGAAAGGAAATAGCTCACCCTGGTGTAATAAAATAAAAAGCATGTAGCATTTTGAATATTTTAGAGCAGAAAAAGGAACTTAAAACAGTTAGAAAAAATGTATATAGAAAAACTTTTATCTCCATTGCCTCTATAAAGACTTACTTGCTAGAAAGTTTGAAGATTATGATTGACTATTGAGCATTGATTATTTGATGAACTTGACCCAGAGAAAATATTTTAAATGGAACATATTGTATAGCAAATAACAGATTATTGACACATGTCTAGATAATCTCTTAGCTCTGAGTGATAAAAGCATTGCCAATAATTTTTAAGGAGCAATTTACCAAAATGTATCCATTTTTGTATAATTTCCCCCCCATTTTCAAAGTTTAAAATATTAGAACAGTGGTGGCAAACCTATGACACGCGTGCCAGAGGTGGCACTCAGAGCCCTCTTTGTGGGCACGCACGCCATGCCCTGGAGATGGCAACTGCCCTTCTTCAACCAGCCGCCTGCTAACTTGCTGAGGTCCCACATGGCCGGATGAATCCCGGCACGGCTGGTTTCCCTCTCCCCCATCCCGTCCCTCCTGGCCTCGCATGCTCTCCTTTTCCTGGGCAAGACCCACTGCATTGCCTCCTCAGCTGTCAGCCAGCCATCCAGCTCAGAGGCGGCTTCTCTGAACTGCTGGCGGCAGGCTGTGGAGCCCCAGAGTGCGCCGGTCAAGGGGCCAGCAGGCTGTGGCTGCTGACAGACACTGTCGGCCCCCATGCGCTCGCTGGCCTCTATATGCGGGGGCTGATGGTGTCAGGCAGCAGCTGCCCCGGCCCCTGCCTTGTCACATGGCAATGGCACCCCCGCCCTGCCTCGCCTCACCTCGCAGGACGAGCCTCTTGCCTACCGCCCCACCTGCCAGAGACCCCCTGGATCTCCCCCAACCCTGCCCACCCCCCACAGGCATCCCTCCCCATGAGCAACACACCCACCTTGGCCACACCCACCCAGTCTGCCATGACCACCACCACAGCCACACCCACTCAGTGAGCCACGCCCACCTGGCACCCAGCGATAAATAAGTGGGTTTTGGGTTGCAGTTTGGGCACTCGGTCTCTAAAAGGTTCGCCACCACTGTATTAGAATGTCAAAGAAAGCAAAACTAACACAGCCTTCCATTCATATACAGACAAGAATTTAGTACTCAGAAAATGTATTTTAATCTCTTTATTTTGAGCTGTGTTTGTGCTACTGAATTAGATTTGTCATTTTTCCCTTGATATGTTCATTTTTCACAACCAGATGAAAGGCAAGCAGAAAATGGTTGTCTCATTGCTACAAGTACTTTTTAATTGGTTTTCTAGATTCTCCCGCTCAGAAATAGCCATGAACAAAGCCAACAATTTGTTAAAATTAATTACAAATAAAACATAAATAACATAATACAATAGTTACAGATATAACACTTACTACATTAATGAGTATGTTGTACTTATAAATATAATAAAACATTTTTTTAAAAAAAACTAGGTTGGAACCATACAGTTTTGTGTCATTTCTGAAAGCAGAGAGAAAAAAAAAGCTTTATCTGTTAAGAGACATAGTGATGATAGCAATAAAGGAGAATATTTGTAGCTCAGGGTTGAAATGAGGAGTTATCGGTGCTCTCTGAGCTTGATTGTTTTGTTACCTAATTCTGATAATGAAATGTCTTCAAGAAAGAGTCTATGGCAATTTACCATGGCCAACTCGTCACAGCCAACTCACTGCAGGACAACTCGTTGCAGGACAACTCGTTGCTGGACAAGAGTTACACTAATATCAAAGAAATAGTGGAATAGAATAATTAAAGAAAGGATGCAAAAGGAGAGACAGAATGAAATGTGAATTGCAAAAATGAAAATATTTTTTTAAATTTATTTTAAATAATTAAATAGAATTGTTAAATTGTCCCGCAGCAAGTTGTCCTACAGCAAGTTGGCCGTGGCAAGTTGTCCCGCAATGAGTTGGCCGTGGTGAGTTGGCTGTGGAAAGCTTTCCCATTCCATTCAAGAAAACAACCAAGCTCATGAACACCAAGGATCCCTCAGACAGGATGGGATTGCTGTAGTTGTTCCTGAGCCAACTTGCCGTTCTCTTTTCTTAATAGCCTTCAGTAGTTTTAAATTGGGCCGTTGCCTTCAGTGTAGTGATAGGATTACTAGTCCTGAATTTTAAAGTTGTAGCTCATACTTCTGAAGGTTACCAGATTGTGGAAGCATAGCCTATAATTTAATACAATATTTGGATTTTCCTATTGCTTAATACAATGCTAGAAAATGTCTTCCTGAAAGTTTTCTTCACAAGTGGCTTCTGTTATGCATTTAAAGGTTTTTTCTGAGTTCTTTTGAAAGTCTTGGGATGTTCTACCCTTCCTTTATAGTTGTAAGATGATAGAATACATTGGTGGTGTTCTCTCCATCACGTACTCTCCATCACACTGCAGACTTCATAGCTCCTCATACTTCTGAATAAAAGACCCATAGGATATTTTTATTCAGAAAACAGGAGGCCAAGGATACTGTAGATCACTAGAGAAAGAAATGTATAGAACAGCAGGCTATTCATATAAACACACTTGGCATCTCATACTTTAGATAATGTTAAGAAGATCCCTGCATTGCTGTCATATGAGAATTCTAGAGAAATGTACTCTTCAATTTATAAAAAATATATTCCTTTTCTATAAAAGTGGGAAAAAATAGCCCAAGGAATGGAATCAATATCAGGTAAAGTGTTAGTAAAAACTTTATAATGCCTTGGTAAGACCACACTTGGAATATTGCATCCAGTTTTGGTTGCCAAGATATAAAAAAGATGTTGAGACTTTAGAAAGAGTGCAGAGAAAGGCAACAAAGATGATTAGAGGACTGGAGGTTAAAATATATAAAGAACGGCTACTGGAATTGGGTATGTCTAGTTTAATGAAAAGAAAGACTAGGGGTGACAAGATAGTAGTGCTCCAATATCTAAGGGGCTGCCACAAAGAAGAGGGGGTCAACCTATTCTCCAAGGCACCTGCAGGACAAGAAGCAATGTATGGAAACTAATCAAGAAGAGAACCAATCTAAAACTAAGGGGGAAAGTCCTGACAGTTAGAACAATTAATCAGTGGAACAATTTGCCTCAAGAAATTGTGGATGCTCCAACATTGGACCATTACGAAGAGATTGGACAACTATTTGTCTGAAATGGTATAGGGTTTCCTGCTTGAGCAGGGAGTTGGACTAGAAGACCTTCAAGGTCCCTTCCAGCTCTGTTATTCTGTTATTACTGACCTTATTCTCTATCATAAAGAACAGATGCTAGAATAATTATTGAGTTGGGTTGACTTATTTAGGCAAACTCTAATGTTATTATCTTCCAGAGTCTCTCTGTTATGTAATTAGCTGCAGTACTTTACTTCTAATGCTGCTTTAACTTTTTAAAACTTGCATAGCAACATGGAAAATTTAAACGTTTTTAATTTGCATTCCACTACTTGCAAACTTTCAAAATTTTTGAAGATATTTTCTTTGGCTTGTTTCCAAGTTGCATAGCACCAGACATATGCTGATATTACATTTCTCATAATATACTGTATCACAAATTTCATTAAATGCTGTTGCGGTTACCTATTCAAGTGAGGTTTCATTAACTTAAAACTAGGCAATATACCCAAAGGATATTATAAGAGAGGAAATTAAATTGAATAACACTACTGTCCTGCCAACTATTATACTGTAAGTGATGGGGGACCTTGTGAATATTCCAATTTATAGTACTGCAAAGCAGCATCTTGAAATACAAGAGAATGAGGATTTGTTTTTTCAATATGACTGATACATTACTATAAATATTAAAAACTGCTACGAACTTGCAACTTACATGTTCTTTCATAGATGTAATGAAGTTCTGTTGGGGCACATTTGAAACGTAATTAATATGTAAGAAAGTTAATTTGTTTCCATATTGTTCACATCTTATGGATATGGATTAACAAGGACATGAAAATACATGATCAGCTACCTAGCTAATTTCAATACTGCCTGGTTCTGGTTAATTGTTAGATGAGAATTATCTGGAATTTTGTCATGAAAATATTGTTTATATAAAGTATCAATATTCTTAAATAAATAAAATTAAATAATATTATTCTGAAAACTTCATTAGGCATTGTGGACCTTAACACAATTTCTTGAAGGTCTGCATTCTAAATGTGTTTGCTTTATTCTATTTTTGCCTCTTTCTAACTCATATGCAAATGTCTTGTGCAATATAATGCCTTTTTTCCCTGAATTTACAGATGCATGAAAAAATTGTTTTTTTTATTAAATCAAAATTTGACTTTGTCCTCCTGAGCCTTTAGCAGAGTTTTATGCAGAATTTTAAAATTCACAAATTCAAATCTGAACTTCATATAATAGATGGGCTGAGTTTTTGCTTGCCTTAAGAAGTATAAAGTATTTTAAAGTACCTTTCCTCATAAATAATTATTTGTTCCTTACTTTTATATTGTCTTCCTCGCATATTAACGTAAGACTGGAAAAAATAGCTTTGGCTATTTGGTCTATGTTATGGCATTTATTTTTATGGCCAATCATAAAATATTTTTATGATTAATTTTATGATTATTGATCAATAATCCAGATGGATCATAAATCTGTAATTTACCTAGTTTTTGTGATGACACCATTTTTAAATTATTATATTATATGGACAGTTAGTCCTCCACCAAAATGCCAGCCATATAAAAGTGTAATAAGATTTGGAAAGGAAATCTATTACCACTTGCCTTAGAAAGATTTGATAGTCAGTGTTACATTTTTTTATGCTATTTTTTTTTTAAAAAAAAATAAAACAGTTCAGCACTCCCATTGTTGCTGCTCTGGAATAAATAATCCATGACCTTGAATTATCTATCCAGCATACAGTTAATATGGATATTTCTAGTAGCAAACATATTTTTTTTAATTAGAAGATTTATTGTTCAATTTTCACAGGAAGTCTCAAATCAGTTTGCAGTAAGAGCACAATAACATCCAGAGTTTTTTTTTTTAACACAAAATTTCTCTAATGGCAGTGTGCCACTTTCTCAAGGAATGCTTGGCAGTGTTATTGATTTTTAAAAATGCCCAAGCAAACAGATATATCGTTCTTGTCAGTAGAAATATTAATATATTGAGTGCCAGAGCACAGAATATCCTCTGTGTTTATTTTCTATTTTCTTGCCATTTGTTATACGCACATATAATGCCATATTATCTATATGTTTCATTGACATTTGCATTGTCATTGAACAAGGAAAAAGAAGAAGAAGAAGAAACTCAAACCATTATTTCCAAAACCTAAAAAGTTTTTTGAAGATTGCTTTAATGGATTCCACAGAAATCTCCTATATCAGCAGTCTTCAAAACTGAATTAATCGTTTTGGCTACCCTTGAAAACCATTGAAAACTTTCAGCTGGTACAGCATGTTAAAAGCTGGGTTGTGAAGTTACGTTAATTTCAGCATGTCTTCTATTCCTCCAGATATAATGCATACCTCAAGATGTTGTAACCATATAATGCAGCATGGCTGACCCCAGATATTTTACAGATCAGTTCTGAGGAATTCCTAGCAACAATTAATATAATTGTTGTGTTCAGATATACCCTTAAGTAGACCAGTCAAAGACCAATATAAGCATTCCTACATTTCCTTTCCCTTCCCTTTCCCTTTCCCTTTCCCTTTCCCTTTCCCTTTCCTTTCCTTTCCTTTCCCTTTCTATTCCTTTCCTTTCCCTTCCATTCCTTTTTCCTTCCTTTCCTTTCTCTTTCCCTTTCCCCTTCCCTTTCCCTTTCCCTTTTCTTTCCTTTCCTTTCCCTTTCCCTTTCCCTTTCTGTTCCTTTCCTTTCCCTTCCATTCCTTTTTCCTTCCCTTCCTTTCCTTTCCCTTTTCTTATTGGTTCAATATAATACACAAACACTTGTGTCAATGAGCTTTGAAAATCTAGAAAATGATTTTATTTAGTAACCAAATAAAGGAAGTTATACAAACCCCCAGCTTCTGCTAAAGTGGATGAATCTTGCCCTGTCAAATGGGTACTCGCTTCTATCTGTGTCCACACAACAACCTTGCTATTATAACCGATAACTCAAGTGTTGCTTATCTCTTAATGGAAATCATTGCTTATGAAAATGTGACCTGGCCTTCCTTGTCCTTCAGGACTCCTATTCTTCTATAAGGTTGTGTGGGGACATTTTTACAAAGTGCCTGTTAGTATTTCCACACAAGTTCTTTTGAGTACTTTGAGGGAGGATTTCTAATTATGGGAGGCACTCAGTAAAGCACGGGTGTCAAATGCTATTGGGTCACGTGATATATCGTGACGTATCACAATGTTTTTTGCCTTTGCGGAGCCGGGGTGGGTGTAGCCTACGTGTGATGCAGCTGGCCTCCAGACTGCCAGTTTGTCACTCCTGCAGTAAAGAGACCTGTCAGGCATCAGGCTAGCAATCTGACACTAGATTAAAACAATTTTGATTAGGCATTTGAACTAGTGTATATTTTTTTTTAAGAGTGAAGGGTTTTAGATGTTATTTTATTGCCTTTGAATTATGACTGAATATATTTTACTGCAATATGGCAACTTGAAGGGAGGGGAGAAACAGACTAAAGCATGGCATAAAATGTGTTAAATAGGAACACATTAGAAAGATTCCTGTTATCAAAATAGACTTTAAACACCATTTCTGGATCCAAGTATGCATCTCTCTCTCTCCCCCTCTCTCTCTCTTTATTTATACCGTATATATAGGTATGTGTATGTTTGTAATTTCTCAAGCAAAGCTATTTAGGATTTCAACCCTGATATACATTTTACACATTTATCTATTCGTAGGACCAATGACACCGGTTTCCTTTCCTTTAAAGAACATTTACCTGTGAACCAGATAGTCATCACTGATACAAACAGACCTAATTCTGAAGCTGCCTGGAGAATTGGTCCTCTTCGTTGCTATGGAGATAGTGGGTATCAGCTCTTTTCAGCATCCTTATGCACAAGCTGTATAAGAAGCTGGTGTGTGTGTGTGTGTGTGTGTGTGTCTGCATGCGTGAGGGATAGAATTCTGTTTGTATTACTGATAACAGATACCTTCTAATAATTGCATTGTCTGATTGTTTCCTGAAATGAATTGTGCAGTTTCTAAAGAAGCATATTTTTCTAAATAATTTGTAATAAGGCTTTGAGTGCTACAGGTTCAAATTAAGGGCTTGTTCAGACTTCTGTCTCCACAATGGGGGAATAAAGATACATATGAGTAATGAACAAGCATGACTTGAATACAGCAGGACTTTCTCATTCATATTCTTCAGCAACTAATTAATACTGAGAACCTGTTCTCTTCATTAATTACAAGTAATATCCAACCATCTTGCCCATTAGTAGTTGAAATTATTATCGGCTGTAAAATTTTATGATTCTCTTTTAAAGCTGGTGGTGGCGGTTAAAGTTGGTGGTTACTATTTTCTCCTGTACAAAATTGCCCATTTTGTATGGTGTGAAGGACTTTCTTTCACATTTCCTTATTTCCTTGTTTCTCCCAACAATTCAGTTTATTGTATGAAAATGTTTATGAGAAGAGAAAAAGTTCTGGCTTTCCCTTCACCCATTAGTATATGTAATTATATCCTTCTGTCTGCCTTCCATTAGTTCTGCTTTGGTCAAATTAAAAAGTACCCCATCAACTTTTTTCAAAATCCTTTCTGAATGATGCTCAGTATGAGATTTGCCTTTTTCACAGCTGTTATACATTTCCTGGGTTCAGAGAAAATACTAAACTTTATGTTTAGCAAAATGCAATAACCATATTCACACAACATGAACTGCTCTAAGCATTTATAGCTTAACGTGATGATTTGATTCACATAATAAAATAAGACAGTGCTTAGATTTCTACAACACACTGGACAAAAAAACTACCATGCCCTATTCTTCAGTAAAACTGTGTTTTGTGCAAATCTAGCCATTGGTCAATTAACCCAACACATCCTATGATAAATATGAGAATTAATATATGTAAAGCTATTTTTTTTTAGCTCAGTGCATTTCTCTGTGAAATTGTTTAAATGCATTTTCCATATTAATTCCTATTTCTTATGTGCAAAGTGTACTGTATTTGCTTTTTTTTTTTGTTTTAATCACCCAAAATAATGTGAAGTTATCAACAAACTTAAACTTTTCTGAGTTTTTTTTTTTTTAGCACTTCAGGTCTTTAAAAATAATTTTGTCCAATTAAGGTCTATAGAAGATGTTTCCTTTTTGCCTCACTCAGTTGGAAGAACTCTGGTTTATTTTTTCTTTACCACATCCCTGAAGTGCTCAGTTCTCTTGATCAGCAACCTAGTATTCTATAAAGTCGTTAAGTTATCTACTCTAGACTCAAGAAACATTTTCTCCAAGGGAACACAGATTTATTGTACATTTATATACTTTATATCAGCGAGATAGGTGTATCTGGAAAGCTTCACAAGCTTCACTGGTTTTTCACCACAGTTTTTTTCTTTATTTTAATATAGAATTTGAATGATTTTGTGTCAAATGTGAGAGAGGGTTATACTGTCCTAACTCATCTGTCTTTTGCAAAACTTCCATGGGTGCTTAACAAACTCTGTTTTTAACTTCTTGATCCCTTGAAAGATTATCACTGGAGTTGAAGTGCTGCTACTTCAGCTGTGTGTATAGAAAAATGTTTCCCAATTATCAACTGAGCAGTGCACAAAAGGGGCTGTTTGTGGTCACACTAGTGAGTGTAGTCTACAGTGTGTTGACTCTCAGTGATGACATTCTAATTATGACATTCTAGTCTAGTAAGCCATGGCTGGCCATTATGCTGCCGGGTTTTTGAAAGTAGCACAAGATACACTTCTTTCAAATATTTATAAATTAAACTTTGAACCTGGCACAGGATGACTCTAAAGAGAGGTTTTTTGTCTGTTTCATAGAAGTGATTTGGATCCTATACATCTAAAACTCTATATTTTCATTAGTGCTTTACTATTTATTGTTTGCATGATTTTATTCATTAATCTGGACGCATTGTCATGATAAGTAATTGAATGAATGAATGAATGAATGAATGAATGAATGAATGAATGAATGAATGAATGAATGAATGAATCCTGTAGCTACAATGCAGAAGCCCTAACATATTTTTCTTCCTAGGTTTCATTTTTCTGTATTAATGAACTCTGGCTAAAGGCTACAGTATATCTTTGCTTCTTTTACCTCCCTCATATAATTAACTATAGAGAAGTTTGTTGTACTTTGCAGGACAGTTCTGGAATGCAGCTTCTTTCAGTACCGAAGCTTCGTATCTTCTCTTCCCCACTTTCCATGCCGAGTTCACTGCAGACATTTCTTTCTTCTTCAAAACAACCAAGATGTCTGGAGTCTTTTTGGAAAATTTGGGAATGAAAGATTTCATCAGGGTTGAAATAAGTTGTAAGTTTACCAACTGAAATTGTAGTATATTATTTTCCTTCAGATCTGATTAAGTCACAAAATGTCTATGGAGAATCTCATTCATCCAGGTCACGGTTATCCCAATGATGCTTTTCCAAAAGACAACTGGACTTTCTTGGTTTCTTCCTTGAAAATGTTTTGCTTCTCATCCAAAAAGCAAAACACTTTCAAGGGAAAAAAAAGCCAGTTACCATTTGGAAATGCACCTTTTGAATTAAATCATGTATCTTCTTGAGTGCTTAATATTTGTGAAATTTGTGTCTATGTTTTAAGTCTTAAAAGTGAGGATAACATGCCAAAAGTTGAGAGGTTAGAACCCTTTAATATATTCAGTGTTCAGTGCCTTGAACCACTACCCCAAACTCGCTCCCATTCATGTGTGTGTGTGTGTGTGTGCACAAACATACATACAGACACATTCTTCTTCAAAGAGTTATATTCAGATGAAGATAATATTATTAAGCTCAGTATTGACTCTGCTGGGTAGCTGTCTCTTATCTGAAGCAGCACACAAAATTGCTACTTTTCACATATAGTATGTGAGTTATCAGCAGATTGCCTCTCCTTCTCTTCATAGGTGATGATAAATAGTATTTATGCAATAATCTTTTAGAAAGCAGCTGGCATACCAATGAGGAAAGGGGAATGTTCCAGAATGCTCAGTATGTCATAATGGCCTGTCAAGCAAGCTAACTTTCTTTGAAACTAAATTGCAATTGCTTCCCAGAGTTAAAGCAGAGATTCTAAACTCCCAGGCTGTGGCCTGGTATCAGGCTGCAGCCTGTTTGGAACCAGGCTGTGCAAGTGGTAGGCAGCACAGCTTGCACGCACAGCTCTATTTGCGTAGCTCCACTTGTGTGAGCAGCGGACACAAATAATGCTGCACACACGAGCACACATGCCTGCTGTTTGCACAGAACCATCCCCTCTCCCCCCCTCCCAGTGCTGCCATCACTGCCTGTCCACAAAGCCAGAAAGATTGGAGACCACTGTATTAAAGAAAAAACTAATTTAAATCATCTTTTTGTCTACTGCTTCAGTCTATTAATGGAGGGTGTTGTGTTGTGGATTTAGAATGAAAGCAGGCCTTTCTGTTCCATGTTCCATCAGTCTGAACAAACCTAGAATGAACTACCATCATTGAGTAATATGATTATAATAACTTCAACATAAAATGTAATAAAATAAGGCCCCCAAGGCCCTTTGATTCATTAAACCTTTGGTAAAAGCAGGAGCACATTATCACTAGGTAATGAGGTATGGTTTAGTGTTAATTGCATATAATCTTCTATTTGGGTGATACTTCAGTGTGTTGTATTTCATTCTCAAGGCTCTTATGTGTTATTAAAGTATACAATAATGCAAGACATTGACATAAAATTATATCAGAATAATGCACTCTGTCAAGATGACGGGTTAGCATGTGCACTGTGGAAATGAAAGAAATGTCTGATACACTGCGTTATGATTTTCTCATAGGTCAAATTATGTTTTGAGCTAAATGGCTGTGAATACAGTCCACAAATCAGTTGATGTTGGTGCTGGAACAGAGTCTAACTATAAAGAGATCAATATCATTGATTACCTTCCATGAATAGAAGAGAATTCCCAACCCCCTATGCCTAAGAAAATTCATCCCTGTGCATTGAAAGATTTTTGTGAGCTATCAGAAAGCCTTACATAGCTAGAGATGCAAATTAGGGTCCAAATGAATGATTATAGCCTTATTTTGTTAGTGTAATGAACCCCTAATGAAAGTGATGTTGCTTCCATGACTTAAACCTTTTAAGAAACTGGAAAAGATTGATCAATCAGAGTTACAACTCCTGTCCAAATGTATTTTTCAGTGTATATACATTGTTATTATTGATCTAGTGTTGCCAGTGTACCAGATGCCAGCTTCTGCTTTTGTCCTCTTGGAGAGGAACCTCTCTTAATCTTGGAATTGATTTTGCCCTAAATGTCATACTGCCAAGTCTTCAGTCTCACTTAGATTTCCAACCCACAACCTTGCTTTGTATGCCCCAACTAATCCCCAGAAAAGATATGGTTGATTGCAAGGGATGAAGATGAAATGAGAACTCAGTACAAATCTCCTTTTAATAAACTATCTAAAATGTAAGAGAAATGGCACAACAGGGTTGGTTAGTTCTTGAATTATATAATTATTTCTTATAATATGAAAATAAAAAAAGACAATTCTCTGACCTGTTTATTTTTTCCTATTTATTTGGTTCTAAAGGCCAGTGTCTATAACCTCCAGTTTTTGAAAGACTGAACTGCAAGTCCCAACATATCAGAATAACTAGCAGAATAATCTTTATGACATTCACACTTAAATAATTATCAAAGTTTGACACTACTTTCCTTTACATCATTAGGAATAAACACTTGCTCTCAGGTGTTTCTGACTTTCAGCAGAATAAAAAAGTGATATTTTAAGGGAGGAAAATTTAAAGAACAGTTTTAACAGCATGTATCATTAATTTTAATAATACAGTTTGAAGAAAAGTTCTAGTGTTTGAAACATGTTTAATATTGTCTATAACATATCAACAAGTTGTACATCTGAATATAGCAAATGTAAATGTTCAATTACCAAAAATCAGGGCTGAGAATTGTCATATGAAAAACACTTTGGTATAGTTTTTTAAAATATATATATATCTCCTTTCTCCTAATATGATCTAGATCAGTGATGGCGAACCTTTTAGAGTCCGAGTGCCCAAACTGCAACCCAAAACCCACTTCTGTATTGTCGGGTGCTGGGGGGCATGGCCAACTGGGTGGGTGTGGCCAACTGAGTGGCCGTGGCTGAGATGGTAACGGCAGACTGGGTGGGGATTGATTGAATGAACCTCTCTTTTTTTGCACATGGCGGTGGAGGCCTAAAGCGAAAAGGTTTTATTAAACCCAGCTGAAGGCCTAGGACTGGGGTGACGGCGCACGTGCCCACAGAGAGGGCTCTGCGTGCCACCTATGGCACACGTGCCATAGGTTCACCACCATGAATCTAGACATTTCCATCAGTGTTCTTTTACTGAAATCATTTTTGTGTCTTCCATTTTCTCCTGTGTATTTTCTACACACTTTACAGGCTATTTCAGTGACAATCAGTTTAAATTTTTTGAAAGCAAATATTAAGTAAACAACACAATATTTGTGGAAATGTTCTATCTCACTGATCTATCGCAAGGCAAATACATACCTTTTGTTTCATGACACTTATACCTTCTATTTCATGAGCATAGCAACCTAATATATGAACATAGAGAAAATGAGAATATCCGACCAGGGATTTGATTTCACAAAGAAGATTTGGGTCTGTAGATATGTACCATAATATATAGTTGATTCATTGTGTGAATTCAATAATCACATAAGGTTGATTGTTCTTAAATGTTACCAGTGGTGGGATTCAGCCAGTTTGCACTACTTTGGCAGAACCGGTAGCTAATTTGTTGTTGCCCAGGCCCAGAACGGACTTCCGGAAGCGGCATCCACACAGAGAACCAATTGTTCACATATTTGAATCCCACCACTGAATGTTACTATTACAGTTATGTACTTCTTGTTGTTAACAGCATGACATACTGAGTTTCATCTTATGCATTCCAGCTCCGAAAGACATCACCTTCACAGTTGATGTTGGAAATGGCCCTGTAGAGATTACTGTCCAATCCCCCATGCTCCTGAATGACAACCAGTGGCATTCTGTGCACGCTGAAAGGAATCTTAGAGAAACTTCTCTTCAGGTAGACAACTTTCTGAAGAAGACTTTAGAAGCACCTGCTGAAGGACATTTTCGATTGCAGCTAAACAGTCAATTATTTGTAGGTAGGTACAATCATTGGTACTATGCACACATTTTAATTTTTTTTTTACAAATGCTATTCTCTTAGGATAAATGAATATTCTTTTTAATTATTGGATATTAGATATTGCTGATTCCTCAATGAATTTCTATGCAAAGTTTAGAAATTTCTACTATTCGAAGATAAATTTAGCAACTTGTTTTTTTTTTAAATTTGTACGCTGATATAAATTGTCCCACCAACAAATAACAGAACTAAAAACTAAGCAATAGGGGAAAAAAACTCTGAAGAATTCACAGGAAAAAAAAAGATAACAGAGACTATTCCATTTTCAGACATGCATATAAATTACTATAGTTCACTGCCCAAATAATAGAGCTTCTGTCTCTTTAGGTTACCATAGTATTTTGTCTCATTGTGTGAGAGAATATATAGTGATACCATAAAAAATAGGAAATGTATTGTTGGTATACCAAAAGATACAATTTGAAGATAAGCAATGCATTCCTTATGATACAGAGTCCCAAAGGGCATTTAGTCACTGTTTTTGCATACTCTTGAGAATATTCAACAGGTGTTTATTGCAATTGCCAAAATTTGTCACGACTACAGAATAAGATAAAATTGAAATGCAAGTCTTTGTGAGATGATTTTCACTTTCTTATGTTTTAAGAATAAAAATCATACACTCTCAGAGTTATTTCTCATGCCCAACTTTTTTGGTTTTGTTTTGAGCTCCAACTATTGCAACATATGGTTTCAATTTTCTACACCCAATATTCTAGAAGTATGTATTTTTCTAGTTGCAAAATTATCAAATGAAGGTGAAGCCAACAGAAATGATAGAACTGGAGACTTAATTGATGGTAATCCCGTGATTTACAAATATGTAAGTCTAAGTACCAATCTCCAAAGCCCATGCCTATATTATATTTTACTATGTTTATTTCAATTGTTTCCTCCACTTATACTATCATTGCATATTAGACTCTCTCTAGATTGCAGAAAGGATATCCTGTGTGATAAATGAGGTCATGATGGCATGTTCAATTCACAACATTGGAGGTGGCAGAGGGAATAGCAAACACCCACCTCTTCCCTTAGTGCACTTTGCGCCTTTCCTCTCAACCCTGCTCAGTTTTATTTTAATTGAATTTTTAAATATAAGATCTTTGTTTATTGTTTTAATTGTTTTATTTGGCATTTTATTCAATGTCTGTAAGCCAGCTAGAGTTGCCTTTATGAGTTGATGGCATACAAGCTTGAGAAATAAATAAATAAACAAACAAACAAACAAACAAACAAATAAATAAATAAATAAATAAATAAATAAATAAATAAATAAATAAATAAATATCCCCTCGTACATTAATATGGAATCAATGGGAAATATATGTTTACAATATTGTACAATAAAACCTTAATAAGAATTTCATTTGTTAAAGGACCAGTTTTTAAAAATATGAACTTTACCTTACTTATACCTGAAACAGGGGCATCTGCATCCAAACAGAAGGGTTTTATGGGATGTATTCGTTCTCTTCATCTAAATGGACAGAAACTTGACCTTGAAGAGCGAGCCAAAGTGACTCCTGGCGTCAAACCAGGATGCTCAGGTCATTGCAGCAGTTATGGTAACCTTTGCCAGAATGGAGGTAAATGTGTGGAAAAACCCAGTGGCTACTTGTGTGACTGCACCAATTCACCGTATGAAGGACCATTCTGCAGAGAAGGTAAGATGGCCGAATGGATTCTTACATATATTTTTTTTGCTCATCCAGCACACCTTGACCAACCTGTGTTATACAAAATGAAAAATATCACTTTCTAAATTACATTATCTAGATCAGTAGTTCTCAACCTGTGGTTTGCGGACACCTGGCAGGTCAAGATGTCATCACAGGAGTCTGCAAATGCTTGAAGAAAGGTTATTATTTGAATCTTGAATTAATACTTGGGGATCCATAAAAATTATGATGAAAAGAAAGTTGAGAACCACTGATCTAAATTCTCGGCAAAATTGCATAATTTAATAAAACGTTTGGGTGAGGAGGAGTGCCAGCTTTTTTCTCTATTTCCCCACTTTCATTAGGAATTTGGAGATTCTATTTTATTTTTCGTCTGGCAGATTTGCTGGCTGACTGGGTTGTTGAGGTATTCAAAAGTGTAGCTCTGTGCCAGAAGATATTGAGGTTGCAACCATCAGTTGAAGCAATTATAGGGTCTCACGCCAGTAAGGACACCAGATCAACAATTTTCTTCCCATTGCCAATTGGGTGCCTAACTGGTCTTATACTGCTTTTCATGTACAGAGGAAACTTTTTCAGTATCAATGATGCAAATATTCAGTTTGGTGTCAGATCGAGGGCTTCTTTAACTAATGTATCATTGGTGCACTCTCTCACTATCTTTGTTCAAAAACCCACTAGATTCTACCCAGAGGTCCCATAACAACAATGTATCTGATTTCAGAGATGCACATGTAGAGATTAGTAATCTAGATATACAGAAATAATTTGAAACCTGGAGTGAAGTAATGTCTTCTAGAATATGAAGCTATCTTAATTGTCAAGACTTTTCTCATTTGAAAAACTTAAAGAACAAACAAGCAAAAAAAAAGTAGTGGAAGAATCCCTTGATGATTTATATTTTTACATGTCCTGTGGAGCTGACTTTTCATGGCTTGGGAATTAATTATTTTTGGAGAACTTATTGTTGTAATTATATGTTCATGCACTAAGATTATCATCTGAGGGGAAAAATGGAACACGGTGTTCATAAAATGAAGACAATGTGTGTTTGTCAGAACTTTATAGATATTACTTTCTTGTAGAGTACGAGAAAAGAACTTGGGCTTTAGATGGCATTTTAGGTGGGAGGGAAAACCCTAATGATCCTCCATAAATGATCCTCTCTTTTTTTAAAAGATTATAGCCAAGATCTATTTGAGCATTTCAGTTCTAATTGTTACTGCCTCTTGCAAACTGGCAATGCCCCATTAACAACAAGTGACCCTTGGCTACTTAAAATGGTTGGAAGAACATCATATAAAGTGCACAAGTCCTGTTTGAAAAATGGGCGGGGTAAATAATACAGTGCCCTCCGTTCAAATAAATGGGCTTAACTGGGTTTCATATTTTCAAAAATAAGGAATGATTTTTCTACTTTACACTGACAGCTTAGTCCAAACTAAAACATTACATTATGTTTAGTGACAAACTAAACATTATAGCATTAAATTGAGTTTGATTTGAAAGGACTTTTCTCTGACTAGATAGACTTCAATCATCCTTCCTTTCTCAATTTTCCCCAGACTTGCTTTCCTTTTGGGGAGAACAAATTATCTTACTAGGTGAAGAGATCTGAAGATTTCAAGAGCTAGCACATTTTTGTGACCTTCTAAAGTCAATTTTAGTGGGTGTAGTTTTCTTTTCTTTTTCTAACCAACATGTCTTATTTCCTTTTTTTTCTTTCCTAAAATAAGTCAGACTGACAAATATTTTGACTTTTCATAGTGATTGTCACTGAGAAACCAAGAAAGCATGAATTAGGATTGGACCTTCTGAAAAGCAAACAGCATGCCAAGATCCATGCTATTATTTCCTTGACTGTTGCCAATGATTATTTTATACAACTTTTAAATATTTGAAAATGTTGCTGCTACTTCTCAGTGTTCCAAACAATGAAACCCCCCTAGGCAATGTATTCAGAAGCCTTCACTGAAAACCTGCTGGGAGTTTGCCCTTATCTATGGGCTCACCTCTCAACTTTGTACTGACTCACTTCTTTCAGTGAATCCAGAATCCATCCTCCTCCACATGTTTCAGCCCCCTGCCTTTCTGTACAGCCAATTGGACAGCATCAGAGAAATGTTGCTATTATACTGCATGTTCAGTAAAATGCTTCAGGCTGGCAAAAGATTATCTGCTTCAATATCATACTTCCTCTGAGAAAGAATATACAGGCAATCCTCAACTTACAACAGTTAATTTAGTGACCGTTTCAAGTGACAATGGCACTGAAAAAAGTGACTGACGAGCATTTTTCATCTTATGACTGTTGCAGCATCCCCATGGTCATGTGATCAAAATTCAGACACTTGGCAATTGACTCATATTTATGACGGTTGCAGTGTCTCAGGTTCATTTGGCCATCTTTTGCGACCTTCTGACAAGCAAAGTCAGTAGGGGAGCCATATTCACTTAACAACTGTGTTACTAATTTAACAACTGCAGTGATTCACTTAACAACTGTGGCAAGAAAGGTCGTAAAATGGGGCAAAATTCACTTAACAAACGTCTCACTTGGCAACAGAAAAGTTGGGCTCAATTGTGGTTGTAAGCCGAGGACTGCCTGTATTTAGATTGTCGGATTTTGCATCCAGATTGCAAATAAGGGGAATAAAGACTCATCTATGGAAAGATTTGGACATTCTTGGTTTAATATGAAATTTATACTTTCCAACTGTAGACTGTAAAACTGTAAAACACAAAGCACACACAAATGCATCTGTTTTGTTGATTCTAAAAATGCAATTTCTACAGTTCCAATAGTTTTCAATCTACTGTACTGAATCTGATTTGTGTATTTTCTTTGTATTTTTAGAAGTCTCTGCAGTGTTTGAAGCAGACACTTCTATTACCTACACATTTCAGGAACCTTATCCTGTAACTAAAAATGCAAGTTCTACATCTTCGGCCATTTATGCGGGTACATCCATACCCAACGAAAATGTCGCTTTTACTTTCCTCACAACAAATGCTCCAAGCCTTCTGTTTTACCTCAATGCTTCTTCTCATGAGTATCTGGCTGTTATTTTGTCCAAGAATGGTAAGTGTGAGTGCAAAGCTTAACAATTCCATGACAATATAACTTCACAGGACCTACTATGAAAACAAAATTGAAGGGAAGCTTTGGAACCTGGTTGCATAAATACCATCATATTATGAATTTTAATTACCTGACTAATCAAATTTTCTACTCTTGAACTTCCATTCAGAACCATAAAAATATGTCCTTTCCTAAACAGCCATATTGCTGAAGGTGAACAGTGCTGTGATTCACAGTTGCTGACAATGCATAATATTATTTGCATTTGGCAGAAATCCATTTGCTTCACATAATTTTTATGAGAATGAAAAATGCTCATCCTGTGAAATTATATTTCCAGGTAAGTATACCTAAGTGTGTTTCGTGGAAACACTGACCCACTGATTCTTTGACACATTATATTTCTATGTTTCTACTTTTCAAATTTATCTGGTATTAATTTTGTCTTAGTTACTTCATTTTTCATCTCTTTCATTTTCTTTTTGCTTCCTGTTCTGTTTTATCTTGCTTAGTGATGGTTTGAACATGTTCTTTTATTTCTGTAATGATAAAAAAAACCCTGCTCTGGAGAAAGTCTACATGATCATGTTATTAACACTAAACTGAAAGGTTACGGTGATTTTCTGATGTTTTACATGAGAGACAGAGAGCACATGCTTGAATTTTGAGAAATTTTTGCAATACTATTGTACCTTTATATAAGTAAAGATACAAAACAATTCAATCTCAGTTTTTTATTGCAACCCCAAACATTTTAATGTAGTTTTCTGTTGTTCCTTCCCATGTAATGTACGTACACATTTCTGAAAACTTCTTGTATATGAAGATATATAAAAATCCTAATCTCCACCCTCATGAAAATATTTCATTCCCCATTTTTGCAGATAACTAGCTATCTTAAATTTTCAGTATTGGTTGCATCTCAGTGCAAAGAACAGTGGGAAACTAATAAGCTTTCTTTCTAACCTTTATAATGAGTTTGGAGAAATCCCATTCATTGCACTGCCTTGCTTCAGAGATGGTGGCGGGCAGATTCATGACAGCTATTTGCAGTGTTAAACACAAATAATATGTATATTATCTAGTCCAGGGGTAGGCAACCTCGGCTCTTTTATGACTGACTCAGGAATTTTGGGAGTTGAAGTCCATGAGTCATAAAAGAGCCGAGGTTGCCTACTCCTGATCTAGTCTATCAAGTCTGTAAAACCTGAATCAAAAGAAGCCCCCTGCAGTGCAAAAGAAGATTCAAACCCCTAGTAAATTTCACCACTGCAGAGAAGGCTGCTCCATTTCATTACTTTCTTTGCAGTTCTTCAGTATCTCAGAAGACTCAAATATTTTTCTCTAACAAAACCTGAAACAGATTTTTGAATAGACCCAGAATACTTTTTCCTCAGTGGTGGAACTACAATATATAAATTGGACACTGACATTTTAATTCAAGGCGTGTCTAGTGGAATTAAGCCCCCTTGCATTTACTATGCATTAATTCTAGTAAGTGTCTAGATAAGTCTGGTCCTAGAAATTTACAGTGACATCACTAATGATAACTTATTTTGTTCACTTACATTCCCTGATTGTTCCTGGAAGTTCAAATTAATTCATTCATTTATGTGGCCAGTGCTTAGTTTTATCATCACTGACCTTCATTTATTTCCTGAAATACGTTTTCCAATAATTCTTAGATCAGAAAAAGATGGTACTTCAAATGAGTGATGTGGGAGTACTGAATGAAAGGTTTAGCTATCTGTCCCTCGATTTAACATGACAGACTTTGACTTGAAGATCATAGCATTTCAGCTGCTATTGTTATTAAGCTGCTCATCAGATTTCTTCTAAATTGTTCTGGACCTCCTCTTTTTATATTCCCTGAAATGATATGAAATAAAATGTATTAAGATTATAGATTATGTAGGACATCTAAACCTCAGCGACACTTTGAACTCAAAACTTGACTTAAATCTTATCAAAAGATTTTTTCTATATGCAATAAAGTTAATAATATAGATTCTTACTAAATCACTGTATAAGACCATTATATCAATCAAAAGTCCTATGTTATCTAAATCTTGATGCCCTTTATGAAACCAGATTGTGCAGGATGAATGATTGCAGGTAATATTTCCTTGCCAGTTCTGTAATCTTCTTGCCAAAGTAGCTGTTACAATTTTCACTTCAAAATTTATTAGAGATATTAGGCAATAATTTGTTCACTGGATAGGATTCTTACCAGCTTTCAAAATTACACTGAAATGAGTTACATATTAAAAAGCTGAAAGGGTTTTCTTTTCTTTTCTGTAATAACTCCAGAAGCCACTTTCTCCTCCAATTCTTTACCATTATATGGCTATTCTCTTGTCTGGAACCCTTTATTTTATTATATCAATACTGTAGGTTTTCTGTAATATTCTGGGTGCAGCCCAACATACCTGGTAGTACATCCAAAGTTTCTGGAAGATGTATTGTGCTGAAAAAGCATTTATCTGATTATTAACTATATCTACTTAGGAGGGATGTAAATTATAGAATTTTAAAAAAATCATTACAATTCAGGTAATTTATACCCCTAGCTCCAAACTGTTATTAAATGTTCTAGTCTTTTACAAATGTTTTCAACAACAATCCAATAATTTCCTAGGTTTTTCTCCCTATTCATAACAAATTTGTTTGACTTGATTTTTAAAAAATGCTTTGTCTTTATATATTTAATTTTAAATATAATTATAAAGCATACAATTAGTCCAATTTCAATTTAATACATCTTAAAGCATGATATACTTCCTGAGTGTGTTATGGTATGTCCATTCAGTATTTAATTAATTTCTAATTCATGTTTCCTACATTGTGATTCATTTATTTTCTGCCATATTACATAAGATAAAATGCTTTAAATATATCCCAAATACTCCCCAAATTAGTTAAATCTCTATTTATCATGTTTGAGATCTATTAAATCTTTGTATTGTTACCCCATACATTTTTGCCCATTGCCTTTTGGTATTTGTAAATTAGACTTATTTGTAACTCAGTTTGGTTGTACACTAATAGAATTAAAGCATATAAAAACCACATGTATCATGGGAAATTATAGGCTGGGAAAATAGCTAAAAGAAGTCAATTTTAAGTTGATGGAATCAGTTTTTTTAAGTAATAAACAGATATTATTACAAATGAGAATTCTGTTGTAGTGCAAAAACAGGTTCAGTGAATTTATATACAGGTAGTTCTTGACTTACAACCATAATGGAGCCTTCCCATCATAGTCATAAGTTGTGACAGTCATAAAAATTTATGACTCTTTAATGGCCAATGGTTTGCTATGGGCAACACTGTTATAAAATGAGGTCATGCGATTGTGGGATATTGTAAATAGCTGTAAATGTGGCCTGGCTGTCTAAAAGATCTTTCAGCAAGGAAATAGTAAGAAACCATTAACTAGAATATTTTTATCTAAAGTGAATGGCATTAGTATGGGTGTATGATCAGAAATTAAAATCTAACCAGTATTGCACATATTAACTGAATTAAGCATCAGATATGATTTTAAAAATAATGTAGCCTTGAGCATGTCCCAGGAAGGAAAGCACACTTTTGCTGTTGGAGTTAAGCACTTTCCATATGTCCATTAAATTACATTTCTGGATGTATCTGTAAAGAACAGTGCAACTTTGGTCTGTTTTCTTTTCAGAAATCTTAATTATTGTCTAATTATAGATCCAAAACTAAGTTAAAGACAATTGGCAATAATTGTCTAACTTGTCACCCAAAGTGATTAGCAAAACCATTAAAATATTAGGTTTGTCTATGGTTGAACCATACAAATGTATCTATTCCCTCCAGTAATTTCTACATTTGGCACTATAATATACAGTGACCTTCAAAATTTAAAATTTCTTGTTCAAATATTAAAAAAAATAAAATATGTCACTAAAACCTCCGCTCCTCTGGCAAAGTTAAAATTTTTACTTAAAGATAGTCCTGGACTTATAACCGTATCAGTCTGACCATCCAACACTAGGCATCCGGGCCACATTTACAATTGTTTATAACGTCCCGCCATCACATGGCCACATTTTATGACAATTTTGCCCATAGCAAACCGTTGGTCATAAAAAGGTCACAAACTTTTATGGCTTATGACAACTTATGACCATGATGGAAAGGCTTCATTATGGTTGTAAGTTGAGAACTATACGCATATAAATTCACTGAGCCCATTTTTGCGTTAGAACATATTTCTCATTTGTAATAATATCTATTGCTTAAAAAACCCCTGACTCCATCAAGTTAAAACTGACTTCTTTTAATTATTTTCCCAACCTATAATGTCCCATGACACACATGTGGTTTTCATGTGCTTTAAATCTATTAGTGTAGCAACCAAACTGAATTACAAATACCTGTAAGTCTAATGTACAAATATCAAAACATCAAAGCATCATGAAATAGTATTCATTTATTATTGCTGCAATAACAACCAAAACCCACTCATCTTATCATTATGTAACTTAGAAAAATATGTAATAAAAAGCAATAATTAAAAAATGGTGAGGAATCAGAACAATAAAAATGTTACATACAAACTTCATAATAAAGCTCCAAATGTCTAACAATTAATTAAAAAGTGAAAATATTTGAAAATAAAATCAGAGCATACCAAGAAAAAAAAACCCCACTCCTCTCTCTCCCACTGAATTTCCACTAGATAAGGAAAATTAAACAACCAAATGAAGACAAAAACACAATTCTGTATTACCGAAAGACACACTGAGCCTCCAAATGAATAATGTCTGAGCAGACTTGGAATTTCTGCATCTATAATTTCTGTATAGCCTTCTGTGGTTTAAAATAATTAATAGATTTTTTTTCAAGCTAATAAAATTTCTTCATATCAATTTCAAACAATAAATCATTTTTTTTCAAGATTCTGTTTGGCCATAAGATGAGTTTTGCAGAAATCTCTCCACTTCTGTATCACTCTGAAAGGTAGATCAAAAAAC